AAAAAAAAAAAGTGGAGTGTGCATTAAGTATCACATAGCTCCTCAACTGTGTGATTTATTCCTGGCACAACGAGAAAGGACCATCCAGAATAACTTAAAAGACACGAGGATCACGGCTAATACTTTAGCTTGGGCGAGTTGGTGAATCATGCTAACAATTACAGCGCACAAAAACAGAATACTATAAAAATTACATAAACACAAAGAAATAACTCTCACTCTCACATTACATAACACAAAAAAACTCTCACTGTCAACTCTGCGATATATTAAACATCATCTTCGTTATTTTTTTTACTTTTACGCGGTAAGAAGAAGAAAAATAAAAAAATAAACAAGGAATTCCGACTACAGTAAACGTCACTGCGGAGGTTTTCCTAAATAATCTAACCCTTTTTGGGACAAGGTAATCGACGGATATTAACTAACATATAATCCATGAAGCATGTCTGTGCTAGCGTCTTCAATAATTGCTCCAGTCACTTTGTTCTTGCTTCGTTCCAGTATCGTACAATTGTTAAAAAGGGGGAGCATTCACAACTTCTGGAATGAATGTCCAGGATACCTGAGTTAGCATTAATGGCGTCGTTGTTATGTCCTTGAAGTCAGTCATTAAGACAGCGACCCGCCTGCCAACGTAACGCTTCCCGCAAGTAAGAGGAAAGGAATAAATCACTCCTTCTGCACAGGAAACGAACTTGGTCTTGTGTTTTTTGTTGCAGCACACTGGTAGAATAGATGGCCCATCCACCCGCTGGCCTAAGCTGGAAACTTTCTGCAGAGCAGAGAAGACCACGCCGATGTTGACTCTATTCACTACTTTCTTAAGATTGAGGGACAGGCTGTGAATATCAAGTACTATACAGGCCTTGTGATGCGTTCTCTTGTTCTGCAGTTAGTGGCGTCTTCTTGCTTGACCTTCCTAAGTAAGCATTCAGAGACTGAAATTAATAACAACATAGGGTATCCTGCTGAAACCAATCGAGATATTTGCTTCTTGAAGCTCGCATAGGTCGTTTTCACGCAGGAGATTTTTAGAGAGGTTTTTAGGCGAAGTTTAGCGATGACTCTTTTAACAAGTTTTGAATGGCTTTTTAGCCCTCGGTTCGCACGACCAGCAGATGTGATTGCGTTTAAAAAACACTCGCTGGTCCAAGAAACGTATTGAATACTCGACCGGAAGTTCGTGAGTTTTAACGGATAAAGGCATTTTTGAAAGGTAAAAAGAACATCGGCCACAAAGGTGGGGAAGGTGCTTTCGCTACTGTCAATGAAAACCAAGTAGTCATCAACGTACCTAAACAAACGCACTATTTTTGGATTTGTCAAGGTATTGCTGTAAGATACTGTTGTGCAAGGCCAGAAAGAGGTCACTGAGGACAGGAGCTATACAAAACAATTCCAAGCCATTCCAGGTGACAATGCAAGAAGGTAGCTAAATATTAGGTCTAGGAAACCCTTGATAGACAGCCCTGCTGCATTTCCGTTGCATTTCCGGTGGACTTGGGTCGCCTGAGCATTCATTGCAGAGATTGTGGATGCTTCCCCCTTCTAAACAATTGCACGGTACTGGGACTAAGCAATAACAAACTGACAAAAGAAATCATCGTAGCCCCTAGCATAGACCTGCTAGATGGATTGTGTTAGTACCCCGTCGATTACCTTATCCCAAAAAAAGAGATTATTTAGGAAAACCTCCGTAGTGACTTTTATTGTAGTCGGTATTCCTTGTTTTTTTTTTATTTTCTTCTTCTTCTTAGTGCGTAAGAGTAAAAGATAACTAAGATGATGTTTAATATATCCCAGAGTTGACAGTCAGCGCTGCGTGAGAGTTATTTCTTTGTCTGTATGTAATTTTATAGTGTTGTTTTTGTGCGCCCTGAAGTGTTAGCAGAATCATGGCCATCTTCAGGTATGTTGATGATTTCCTGATACTTCATTCAAATGAGGTGAGGGATAAAACCAATGAATCCAGACAGACAGTTTTGTAGTGCTTCCAAGAAAGCTGCCCAGAATTACTTTTCACGTACGGACTAATGGACCTTTTCCACATATCGACGGCATCAGGCGGTGGCTGTACGAACTAAAAATCGAGGAATTGACCTACCTGCGCTACCAATCGATAATGAGGGCTACGCTACCAGTTTCTTCGCTCTCTGAGCAGCGGCGGCAGCGGCGCCTGCCCAACGCGACTTTAAAGAGGGGCATCCGTGGCTTCCACCCAAACGTCGTGTTTTCCTTTCCGTCAACGTTCTTTTTTCGTGTAACACAATTATATATATGCTGCAGTTACGTGTTCTACTCGCTGTTATACAGCCTCCTTCCGAATTTCCTCGATTTTTCGTTCCGACTTCCGCCGCTTGGCATCGGGCGCTCGCGCGTGCGCAGAACGCTTCTCGGAAAAGGTCCATTGTGTGCATGGTTATCAAATTCCTTAATCTCAAACTGGAATTCAAAGATAGGCAGCTTTGATCCACGTATGAACCCAGGTCAAGTAAAAAATTTATTTCGTTTGCGTCAGGACATTCCAAAACCATAAAACGACGCGTGGCAAACACCGCTCTTCTATCGGCCCTAAACAAATCGTGTCACCATAATACTGAATGCAGCTTTAAACAAAAAATTTCCCGTTTACGAGACTCTAGACATTCGAATAATCTCTTGGTCAGCGTGTGTAAAAACATCTACACAAAACTGGAATGCAAAACATCAGGCACAGGGGAATGCAGAATATCGAAGCTAAACAAAGGATCGCAATAGTTCCCTACACCCATGAAATAACACACAAATTAAAAAGACAGCTGCGAGGCAAGGCATCAAGGTTGACTGCTCTGCACAAAACAAGGCATTCAACAACAAGGCATATTCCATGTGCCGTAAGGCAAACCAGGACACCAACCAGACGAAAACCTGGAACATCTCTCACATGACACGATATGCACTATCTGAAAAGGGGGTTGTATATCACATTCCTTTATCCTGTGGCAGGCGTTACATTGGTCAAATTGGCAGATGTATTAATGACAGGACAAGAGAACACGCAGCATTTCTACAAGGCACAACCGCAGCTCCATTGCCAGCCCAGCCCATTGCCAGCCCATTACCAGCCCATTGCCGCAACCTGCCCATTGCCGCAACTGTGAATGCAGTGGAGAGTTCAGCAGTGTCACCATCCTCGCCACACACAAGAGCCAATATGTACGAGAGATGCTCGAGACCTTGGCCATCGAGGAAAACGAAGCCACGTGCGTAAGCGAGCCCTCGATCAAGCTCAATACCAAAGAAAACCAATAATTGCGGTGTTTTATGCCCGGTGAAGTGCGGGTGATTCAAATTTAAGTTGAGCGAGCTTTTAATAATAATTGGGGTTGTGGGGATATTTATAGACGCTTTGCAGCAGCTGTGCATGGACGCCGCCATAACTGACCTTCAGTTTTTGTTTCCTCTTATTTCGTTTATTTCACTTCATCATTACCATAGCAGGCCAGGTTATTGCCACATCAGATTCAACTGTGTCCTTTTCTAAAGCGTCGGCCTTTGTAGAGGATTGTCAACTACTGTCTCAGTTGCTCGGCATCTTGGTAAAACAAGAGAAGGTCAGCAATGGCGGCTGTAATTTGGCGCGTGTGTAAAGCGTCTATACAGCGTGCAGTTGGTCAGCCATTAAAGTTGCAACGAGTCACACGCTGTAGATGAGCAATTTAGCCAGTGCAGTACAACAGCTAGCCTGGGGTCTTTAACGTGCACCACGCAGTAGTGATACACGACCGCACGCCGGTACGATGCTCATCCAGATCGAAACGGGCAGGGGTGGGGCTCAAACCCAGGATCCTTGGGTTCTGCAGCGCGAGCTTTCGCTCCACCCGCTTCGAGCTGGGTGTGCGCTTTAGCCCACTCGGCCACCGATCCCCCAGAGGGCTTTTACCATATAAATTGAGTGTTTTTTATGTGGGCTTAAAGAAAAAGAACAGTCAAGGTGTAAAAAGAGGAAGTATTAAACCACAGTTTAATACATCTTCTAGTCCAGCGGTATGTCTGTCCCTTTTTCTCTCTATATATTCATTTTTCCTAAGTTCAGCAGGCTCTATTATAGCGTCTGGGATTCCTGATCAAAAGAAACATGGAAGTAATGCTGAATTTTTCCGTTTCACGAGAAAAATGCTGAATTTTTCCGTTTCACGAGAAAAATCCTTACTAACTTCATGTTGAGACGAAGAAAAGATAAGTTGGATTTGAGGAAGTCCACGTTGTGCATCGATGATTTATTTTTATCTTGTTTATAGTGCTTTTGTTTTGCTATCGATGCATATTACTCTAACCCTGACTTTGAATTTGTTTATATTGAATATTTCTTCTGACAGTATCTGTATTGTTTCTTTTTTAATTTTTGTCAGATGGGGTCTCGGCCTTGTTAGAGTGCCTTCATACACACGCGCGCTTTTGCTTGAGTGGTGACATCGCAGCCATTTTTCCGCCCAATCTTTTTTTATGCATTTTGAAGTGCGGGCAATCTGGTGTCACTCAGCTCGAGCGCGTAGCTTTGGCTAATGCATAGGCGCCATTTTACCGCCCAAGTCATGCACCGAGTGCGCGAGAGCGTCACGCGCTGGCACACTCAGGGCAACAATGGATGTCTTCACCCTGAGACAGACAGACATGTAGGCACCCTAGGCCTTGTCAGGCGCAAGCGCCCTTTGCCTTACGCTACCTCTAGGGAACCATAGCGCAGTCACAAATAAAGCCAAAAAGGAAGACACGGAGTTTGTACAATGGCGCTTGCCTTTTGTCAGCGTTAACTTACAGGCTAGTATCTCAACCATAGTAAACAAAAAGGGGGAAGTGCGAACAACACAACCTGTTCATAAACGCTCATAAGTTAAATATGGTAGATGGCAAATAAAAAGTCAATCCTCAAGAGTAGTGAAGGCTGAGAATTAGCAATTAACAGTCAATTTGGCCGAGAAACAATTTATCACTGGGACGTCCACAGTTGCACATACCCGAGCTAGAGTTCGTAGCTTGTGGCTGCTCTCCTGCAGAAGAGAACGAAATACATCTGTTATTAAGAGTCAATAACGAAAGATTACCACTCATTCTCGTTTTATACGATCCGTTTAAGGTTAAATGTTCTGAAACATTTACGTTCACATAATTATTCTTGATGTATCGAAAAAGGCAATTGCATATAATAGAGGGAAAATAAACTAAAACACGGCCTTAAAGGTTATTCTCTTGCAATTATACTTTTGTGACCTTAGTCCTGCCCACGCTGGAAGAAACACGTTTAGGTGATGACCAGGGTGTAAGATAGACAGATGGGGAAACGGCCCATAGAAGTGTACCGCCGCGCCGTGACCGGATTGTGTGCTCGTCTGCTTGCGGGTACCCCCGATTTGCGACAGATGGCGCTGCGGCGACAGGAAAAATATCGGAATCAGATTTGCATGGAACTCTATGCGAGAGTGCGGAAAATAAAACGAGAGCACGACAGTCCTCCATTGAAAATTTACGAGAAACCATCTCCGTCGGTTTAGCCGGTCGCCAAAGGTCGCCCACCCGGTGTGAGAGTTCGCGGTGCTCCACATAGATGGCGCCACAGAAAAAGAGGAAACCGAGGGGGACACAATCCGGTCGCTCATTTAGCTCTCGTTTCTCCACCTGTCTATCTTACACCCTGGTGATGACTCTGGCCGCTCTTCCCGCGGGGAGCGAGCGACCAGATCGTGTTCGGAGCTAGCCTCGAACCAGGAGTAGTTAGTTCCGCGCCGCCGCGGAGGGCGCTGATGTATGAGGTTCCTTTTCGGCGGCCACGGTGTCGGCGGTGTAGCGTGCTCGCCTTTTTCGCGGTGTGGTGGTGTGGTGGTGGTGCGCGGCCAGTGGCTGGCCTCGTGCTTTGCTTTGGTGCTGTGTCGATCACAGGTGCCACCATCGTGCACGAAAGTGCGCCTTGACCCGAGGAAGAAGAAGAAGAAGAAGGAAGAGAACGCAGGTTTACGGACTTTGGCGACTTGGTGGCTGCGTGGCGGCGGTGAGGTACAACAAAAAACGGTGAACGCGGGAATGTGGGACCACCGCTGGGAGAAACAGCCGGAGCGGAGGGTTTTGGAGGGACCCCATACTTCGGCGCAATCTATCCCCGTGCGACTGAAGCGCTCGGTGCGCCGAACATAATATGGTCGCCACGTCGGACAGAGAGTCATCACCTAAATGTTTCTTTCACCGTGGTCCTGCCATACAAAGCTGGTCATAAACCATAGTCTCTTGATGTAAACAATTGCGTGAATTCGAAGGAACTAAGGACGAAAGGGCCAATAAGCCTGACTAGAGGGAAAAGCTACATTCAGAAAATCGCAATTTTCTGTAAAAATGAATAAAATGCATATAACAATCTTGAACCCAACTCGAAGTGATAATTATGTAGTGTGTAGTTTAAGACGGAAGTTAGATTATACAAATATTATCCTCTACTGGACCAAGCGACATGGTGATTGCATCTTCAAGTCCTAACACATAGCGCCCCCTCCCGAGGAAAGCATGCCGTAAAAGTACCTGGAGTTTTAAATATTCACAGATTGCGTTCTCATCTTTCGTAGGAACGAATCGACGTCACAAGGTTTAGGAAACACAAAATTCACGACTGAAATCTGCTGCAGATAATAATGTCAATTTGGTATGAGCAGGCTACATTTTTTTCCAGCTTATATTAATACCCCATACCCCTTTGTGTACGCCAGGTAGACCTTTCGTAGGTTCTTCGAGATGTATCTTAAACGATATTACCTATTTTAACACGCGTACTGTGCTTTGTGTTGATAACCATTTTGACGTCCAGATTTTCTTCCAAAGTAATCATTTTCTTCATTAGGTTACCTTGTTATCTATACGTTTCTCGCAATTTGTAGTCTTATATGATGCTCCTATTGGGAGCGTGCGACAACTAAAGGGGGAACCCGCAGCGTCTTGGTCGCGCCCGTGCCTTACTTCGGTCGTGTTTCTTGATCTCGCCCTGAGGTAAAGATTTGGTACCTTGACAATCGAAAATCTACCCACGTCCAGCGTTCTTTGTGCGTGTTTTCGCGTCATTTGACCCGAGGAGTTGCTTGGAGCTCGAGATCAATCGGGTCCCCCGCAGTTGTAAGCGGCAACGAAGGCAACACACCGCCATGTTTTTTTGTGTTTTTTTTTTTTTTTTTTGCTTTGTTTTTTACATAGCAGGAATGTTTTGACGAAGCGGTTGTGAGTTCGACTGTTCGAAAGTCACTAGGGAACCACATTCACAAGTGACAGTGATTTATAAAAACTACATGCTAAGTGCCTTAGAGCACAGCTCTTAGGCGCCCGTTTCCGGCTTGAGCGGTGTCGCCGTCGGCGTCGGCGTAACCGCAAGTTGCATTCTGGGACATTTCCCATATGACGTCACACGTGACGTCGCGTGTGACGTCACGAGGGTCACGAGTTATGTCACTCGTGACGTCACCACGCGTTGCACGGTGGGTAAATTTCACCATTAAATTTAGCGGAAAACCTTTCCCACTAAATTTAACAAAAATATTTCCCGCTAAATTTAGCGGAAAGAATTCCCCACTAATTCTAGCGAAAAAATTCCCCGCTACGTTCAGCGATGAATTTTTCTGCCAATTTAACGGAAAATTTAGCGAAACTTTCTCGCTGAATGGGAAGGGAGCGGGAGAGCAGGAGGAGAGGGTACGAATAAGGATGAAGGGCACACCCTCCTCTTCGTAACTTCCCTTTCTCCTCCTCAAGAGCTGCGCTCTAATTCGGCGGTACAGGGGATTGTAAACATCTTTCATATTTCTGGTCCTCGTATTATCAGATTGTTCTTCGCTCGCTGGCAGACTCGGTAGACGTACTGGATGTGTTGACCACGGCGGTTTTTGCAGCGCACGGTTGGAGTCAATGTTCTCAATTTTCAGGTCTTGCGTAAAAACAGTTAAAGCCGACTGCGGCCCCGAACGTTTTGTATAACAATGTGCTCATGCAAGCTGAGATTGAAAGAAACTAATGCTGGCTGCTACATATAATAACTACGACAGTCCGTCAGTGATCAGTGCAAAGTGCTTTTGCAAGGAGACAGAACGTGCCGCCAGTGTCTTGTCGCACGCTTCCAATTATAAGAGGCATTACCCCAGTAATGCAGTGAAGACATCTTAATTTAGGCACAAGCAATAAATTTACGTCTAACCACGTATAGAGAAATTTATTTGCACCAGAAAAAACATTTAATAGTGATTGAATTTTATAAACAGAAATCAAGCTAACTCCTATAGAAAAGTAATAAACAAATTTTAAAAATGTCTGACAGAATGCTGAAAGCCTAAATAAAGTACAAATTACTTGGCTGTCCTGTATGTCGCCTACTAAACCCCTGTGTTCTGAATGGCTTACGCTAAACGTTCTTTGTCTGTCTAATATTTTCTAATAAAACACCCGCTAAAGTGGACATCCCGTAAAAATCACAGTTATGTACAAATCACATTCAACTACAGTGTATAAAGAGGGGGAAGTGTACAAACAAAACAACATGTTCATTGAACGCTCAGGAGCTGAATATGGTAGATGGCAACCCAAAAGTCAATCCTCAAGAGTAGTGAACGCTGAGTATTGGAGATCAGCAGCCCATTTTGCCGAGCTACAATTCCTCCGGTGGAACATACCCGAGCTAGAGTTCGTAGCTTGTGGTTCCTCCCCTGCAAAAGAGAACAAAAATACAAGCATCATTAAGGTTAAATAACGGAAGATTACCAGCCATTCTCGTTTTATACGATGCGTTTAAGGTTAAATGTCCTGAAACATTTACGCTCACATACTTATTCTTGATGCATCGAAAAAGGCAATTGCATATAATAGAGGGAAAATTAACTAGGACACCACCTTGAATGGGGACCGAAACGAAAATTGGAATATACGAATTTCGTTAGGAAATGAGTCAAGCATGACGGATAATAACCGTAAATGATAATCGCCCGTTTGTGTTTCGAACGACTGGCTCTATTTTTAGTTCCAAACGGTGCACTCGAGCAAGCGCTCGAAGAGAAGCGAACGGAGAGCGCGATGCGTCATGGGTTATGCGGCGCAAACAAAAAACAAAAAATTCCCCGCATTCGTGACGTAGCAAGGCTGGCGTGGTTATCAGTTTAGCCATTGGTGGCGTTGTGGTGGCGTCAACGCGTTATAACCGGGCCGTTCTAAGTACCCGTGGGCATAGCCGTGCATTCAGAGAGTTTGGTCAATGGGAGGCGCGGGCAGAGCCAGGGCGTGCGTCTTCTTGGACTGTTTGGTACAATGCGTGATTTGTGAGTTGATGAAGAAAGCTAAGAAGGAAAAAGTTGACAAATGGTTACATGACCGCTTTAAACAATTGAGCGTACTTCCAAAGAGCGGCGCTGCTCCGATGTTTAGTGCGGCTTCGGAACGGTTCCTGCTGCGTCACAACCCACGTAGCAAGATTCCCAACGTTGTTAGATTATCTCGCAACTAACACAGGTATCCACCAGATGCACATCGGAAGATCGTTTAATTAGCCTTAAATTCAGTTTTCTCCTTCCTTTCACCGAAAGACTGGTGTTTTTGAAGTTATGATGCAACATGCAGCACATTTAAGCTTGAAAATGAGCGCTGGAATTTTGTTTCCGTACCCCTTTAAAGATTGTTAGTTTGCAATGATACTTCTGTGAACTTAGCTCGTCATAAACCATAGCCTATTTATGTAAACAATCGCGTGAACGAACTCAGGACGAATGGGTCGATAAGCCTGACAAGAGGCGAAAACTATATTCAGAAGATCACAATATTGTGTGCAAAATTTAATGAAATACGCATAATAATCTCGAACGAATGATAGATATTATAATCAGGACAAAATAATTACCACCCAGAAATTGCTTATTTATACGTGTGCTCTAGGGACCAAATAAGTCACTCCAGTCGTAACGCTACAGAAAGCACACCGTTGAAAAGATTCTCAAAAGTTTGATTAAAGGCCGGTTCTCACATGCGGCGAAGCGCTGATGTA